TGACTATTTATTCAATAGTTAAGAATATTTAACTGGGTTAACAAAGATGATTTTGATCCTGGTTTGCCCAGGAGAGGTTCATAATCTAATGGGGAAATGGATATAAGGGGGAAAAAAGATATGTAAAACGTGTTCTAAATGTGTTGAGTACCTGGGGAGGTAGTAGGGGATAATGATTCAGGTCACAGACTTTAAAATTTATCTCTGTACCTCTCCTTGCTTCTCACATAAGAGGTCTTAAACTTTAGGTAAGTTACCAGCCTTTCTTTATCTTAGTTTCCTCTTCTGTAGTTTGGGGATTATAAATCTAATCTTATAGGGCTACAGTGGAGATAGATCTGTGTGGAATCTTAATAAACTTATTACAATCAATGATCTGTGAAAAATGCTCAATAAATTTTAGCTATTAATAAGGAGTGTATAAAAATATAATAGTATTAGGTCTAGTAATAATTAATGTCATTTTCTAATACTTTTTTAAATAGAATTTATTTAAACAATACAACAAAATTTAATCAACAATATAGTTGCCGTTGTTTTCTACTACTTGTGCCCAACGCTCAGGAAGCATTTTAATCCCTCTGTTGTAAAATTCTTGTGATTTTGATGCAAAAAATTCGGTCAATGCATTTTTGAGGCATTCTTCATTATTAAATTTTTTCCCAAAAAGAAAGTTTTGCAAAGAACGAAACAAATGGTAATCGGAAGGGGCAATATCAGGAGAATATGCAGGTTGAGGGAGAACTTCCCATTCCAACTGGCGCAGTTTTTCAGCAGTGATTCTTGCAGTATGCGGTCGTGCGTTATCGTGGTGAAGAATTATGCCCTTCCGATTAATCAGCGCGGGTTCTTTTTCTCTTAAAGCTTGGGCTAGCCTTTCCAATTGGGCACTATACATTGCACTTGTAATGGTTTGGTTAGATGGTAAAAGTTCATAATGAAGAATTCCTTTAAAATTCCACCAAACATACAACATCACTTTTTTCGCATGCAAGTCAGGTTTTGGCGTGGGCTGCGGAGCCTCATTTTTGTCCAATCATTGAGGCCGCCTTTTCAAATTAACATACAGCACCCATTTTTCATCTCTGGTAACAATTTGCTCTAAAAACGGCAAACAGTTTTGACGAGAGAGGAGCGAACTGCAAATTGTGACTCTTTGATTACGGTTGTTGTCGGTCAACTCATGAGGAACCCATTTTCCAAACTTTTGGACTTTGCCAGGTGCACACAATTGATTGGAAATTGTTTTCTGTGAACAATTTAAAGTTGTCGCAAGCTCTTGTTGGGTAATTTGAGGATTTTGCACCAAAAGAGCTTGAAAAGCTTCTTGATCAAAATTGGACACACGGCCTCAACCACTCTTGTCATCTAACGAAAAATTTCCCTCACGAAATTTCTCAAACCAACACTGGCATTTTCTGGCGCTAACTGCATCTTGACCAAGAGCACTACAGATGTTTTTTGCAGCCTCACTTGCTTTTCTTCCTAATTGGAACTCGTAAAGCATGCAGTGCCGAATATGCTCTTCATCCGCCATCTTCTTAGCCCTAGTTTTGCAACAAAAACCAAACCAAACACAAACTTTTTCAAGCAAAACTTGTTCATTGCACTTCACACATTCTGTAGATACCACGTGTTTGAAGGTTATGTCAATACAAGTCAACACCAAGCAAGATTTTAAACGAATGTTTAAAAACGACATTAATTATTACTAGACCCGATAGCATAAAATAAAGTTAAGGAGTGGTCCAGGAGCACTTCACAGAAATGATGAATTTTGAAAAATGAATTTTATTTATCAGAATGAAAGGAGGTAAGAAGGTAGGCTAGGCAGAGAGACAGACATGCAAAGATATTAGAATGCACATGGCACATAGAGAGGGTAATTCAAGAATTTCAGTATGGCCAAACATTTAGACTTATTCTATAAGGAGTTGAAATAAATTGTTGAGCTGGCTAAAGATGAAAGGCATATGGATCTGACCAGATAAATAGGTTTTTAAGTCATTCACTCATTCATTCAGTGTTTTTTTTGAGGGTTCACTAGCATCCCATGTATTGTTTTTGATGGTGAACAAAGCAGGCATAGTCTGTGATCCTATGAATGGAGTTCATAATCTCGGGGTAAAGATAAGTGAGTCAATAAGTTAATAAATGCCAATACTAATAAGTGCTGTGAAGGAAAGTAAAAGAATAGAAGAATATGTTGTTTAGGAAGACTTCTCTGAGGGGGCACCATTTCATCTGAGCTCTGAAGGATAACTGGAAGTTGGGTGGGGGGGAAATGGGGACAGAATAGTATTCTTGGAAAAGAAAACCACATCTGTGAAGGCGCCAAAGAAGAAGCTTGGAGTGTTCTAGGGACTGAAGGAAGCCAGTGTAGATAGCAAATAGTAGCAGAGCCAGAGAGTGGAAAGAGGAAATTAGAGAGGGCGTTTCCAGTCATTCAGAGGTCTCAGGACCAGAGTAAAGAGTTTAATTCCATTTGTTGTGCAACCAGAATCTGTTGAAGGATATGAAGCAAGGTAATAAATGATTCCATTTAGGTATTACACATTTATCTCTCTGCCCTGATGAGAATGGATAAGTAAAGGACACATGTAAAAATGGGGAAAATTGTAAGATGTCTATTGAATTAATCCAGGTTAGAGATAGCGGTGGCCATGGAGAGAAGTGATGAAAACTGAGAAACCCTTGGAGATAAAACTGATGGGGCTTGATGAATCTGATGTGAGAAGTGAAGAAAAGAGGAAAATTAAGTTTGACTCAGATTTATAGCTTGAGGAACTAGTTGAAGGAAGAGTGGTGCTATCCTCTAACGTTAGGAAAGTGTGAAATGCCGGAGAAGACTGGTTTTAACAGTAGGAGAAGGATAAATTAGGAGTTTGATTCTAGATGTAAATTTAAGAAGAGTTGCCAAATTTAACACATAAAAAATAGGATGCCCATTAAATCCGAAAATAATAGATTTAATAAAGGAATTTGGCAATGTAACAGGATAGAAAATTAACATTCAGAAATCAATGGTGTTTTTATACATAATGAATTCTCAGAAAGAGAAACTAAACAAACAACCCCATTTACCATAGCAACAAAAACAATTAACACACCTAGGAATAAACTTAACCAAGGAGGTAAAAAACTTATACTCAGAAAACTACTGGATGCTAAAAAAAAAAAAAAAAAAAAAAAAAAAAAGAGAGATATAAACAAGTGGAAGCATATATCATGCTCATGAATTGGAAGAATTAACATAATTAAAATGTCTTTACTACCCAAAGCAATCATCGATTCAATGCAATCCCTATTTAAATTACCAAAGGCATATTTCACAGATTTAGAACAAACTCTACAAAAATTTATATGGAACCAAAACAGGCCACAAATAGCCACAGCACAGATTGAATTGAAAAGCACAGATGTTTCTCTGAAGTTCTGTTGAAAGGAAGAAAAGCAGAAAGTTGAAGGTAAGTATTAGTATAGGTAGTTATGTTTACTAAGTGGTTATTAATCAAGAAACTACATTTTTCTTTACGTCCATTTGTTTTTTGTTGAAGTAGAGTTACAAAACTCTCCAAGTTTCTTACACATTTACAGCATTAATATGTGTGACAATTAATTTTAAAGGAATCCCACAAGAGAGAAAAATAACAGTAATCTTCAGTTTACAAAGAGAGAAAATGATTTCAAGAGATACTCGGGAGATCATATGCAAACCTCTGCTTACTCATAATTAAACAAACTTCCTTCAAATTCAATGAGAAGAGCATATTTTATAAGATTTTAGTGTATATTGCCGTTGCATGGCATTTTGAGCCAATTCTGCCATAGGAGTTCATTCTATAGCTAGTTAGGCCTATCCCAGTTAAAACTAAAAACAGGAAGATTTATTTTGTGAGTTTTATTTCCTAATACTCCAGGAGTCAGCACACTATGATCTGCAGCCTGTTTTGAAAAAATAAATAAAAATGAAGAATATTTTATGACATGTGGGGATTATATGGAATTCAAATTCCAGTGTCCATATATAAAGTTTTACTGGAATACAGCTCTACTTCACTTGTCTCCATGTCTATGGCTGATTTTACACTACAATGGCAAAACTGAATAGTTTGATGGAGATGACATGATTTGGAAAGCCTAAAATATTTATGACTTGTCCCTTTACTGAAAATATTGGCTATCACTTAAAGTATTGCTCCTACCTGGCCCAGTTTCCATCCCCATCTCTTCATCATTCTAGGGGTATTTGTCTTTTCATAAGAAACTCTTAAACACTAAAGAGCCTACATTCAAGTGAGTGAATGCCCAATGTTGCAATTTCAGGTCGGGATCCCTGGATACATTTTGGAACCTTCCTTCCTGGCCTCCTCTCTCCCATGTAGTCAATTCCGTCAGCTACAGACATGATCCTAATTTGGACCATTTACTAGTTTCTTGACCTGCTATTTTTCTCTTTGTGACCTACCAGGCCCTTCAGATCCTAAAGTTAAAAAAAATTTTTTTTCAAAAACAATGTTCACAGGCAGAATGATTTGAGCAAGGGGGCAGGACAATGAGGTCTCAATCCTGAGAGCCCAAGTCCATTGGTTCTGAGTTTGGCTGGCCTAGAGAAGCATGGCTTGGCCGCCTTGATCATAATTTTAAATTGTATTAAAATGTTTACTTTGCTAAAACCAGATTTCATTTGGGCCATGAGCTCTTGGCACACTGCTAATTTGTGTTCAGTTTAGCTTTGTCAGTACTTTGGAGGGTGGATCTTGCTCAGCTAGAGTGCTGTGCGTCTCCTAAACATTCTGAAGCCTCATCGTTTCCCGTATCAGCCTTTCTCCAACTGGGAGTCAGGCAGCATCCCTGGCAGGGTTTCCAGAGCTCCCTTCATTGTTTCTGTGTCCACAGTGCTTTCTGTCCTCTGGCTTGGTCTCTTTATCCAGACAGGATCACAGGGCTCTACAGCGGCAAGAAGGGCAACCATGGCAAGGAGGTACATATTGTTTCTTTCTCTTGGAGACGTTTAGAGATAAGCTGTCATGGAACCAGGCTCTATTTTTTCTTCTTCTTCCACATCTATAACAATCATGCTCTCCTCCACACACCTATGGACACTATATATAACCTGGCTTTCCTGAGGGCAAAAGGTGAGCCTGTTCTTGTTCAGCTCTCCTGTCAGCAGTATTTCAAAATGAAACATTTCTCTGGAGCTTCCCTTCTGTCTTTCTGATGTCCCTCCCCGCTTGCCTCTGTACACAGATCAAGGAAGAGAAATGGATTGAATGCTAGCTGAGCACGTGAGCCTTGCCCACCATTTGCAGACTGAACACAACTCTGCTTAACCCTGAGGAGTGGTTAGGCTGGGTTTGTTTGTTTGTTTTTTGGGTTTTTTTTTTTAAGATGCTATTGACTATGCCTTGATCTGGGTTCCTTTGTAATAGCCACGAAGAGAGAGAACAAGGTTCTCTCAAACAACACCTCTATTCCATTGACTGGTTGTCTAGTTAATGTTTGTGGAAGCAAAGCATGGGTTTCCATTTTCCCTTTTAATTAGCCATACTAGTGCCCTGCCAATACTGCCTAAGGTATACACCCGACAGGGAGACATTTGTTTCATTTGAGAGAAAGCTGAGTAGACGTGAGAAAAAGGTTAAGTTCCAGAGAAGCAGGATTCTTGTTGACCCCTTTTCATTATGAAAGTATGTGAGACTTAATTTACCTTTATAACGCTAATTTAGCAAAAAGACAATTTCTTATTGTCACAGGTCCTAGAAATGAGCACAATTTTTGAGAAATTCCAATGTCTTTAAAGCTTGTTTACTCATTCTCGTGGCTTCTCTGTTTATTTTATCATTTCTTCATAAACTATTAGTAAATTTAAGTTTATAATACTTGTGAGGACTCTTAAGGATATATGTTATTTTCTATTTCATAATACAATATTCAGATAGGGTCATTTCTGACATTTCAGTAATGCAGTCAGATTTTAGCTCTGGGACCCAAATTTAAAATACATGAGAAGTAGCATTCATAGTCTCATTTGCCCTTGTTTTCCTTATGAAAAAATAAGGGTAGGGAAGTAAGGCAAATAATAGCAGAGAAGCTTAAAATAAATAAAAAAGATCATAACCCTTATTGGCCTATGGCAGTCCAAATTTAACACATAATTATAAAGGGAGCCATTATCATCCATGTTTACATTGAGCTTCAGGACTCTTATCTCTAGAATATTTTCTTCTAACTCAGCATACACCAACACGCTTCACTGAAGTTGTGGTTCTGCTCCTCTGTCCACTACCCTCTTCTATTTAAAGGTGACTCTTCACCTGATTCAGACAGGGATTAGAATAGGGTGTGCTGGCATGGCAGTATAACCACTTTGCTCTTGCGATTTGGGACTTGACCTTTCAGCTTCTGAATTCATTCCACTATTTTTACCCTCCTGACTACTAGGCCCTGGCTGGCCTATGTAGACACTATTATCAGACACTCATTGCTGGTGAGTGATTATTATCTATAATAATAAAAGCTTAACATGCTAATTAGACTGGATGTCCTTCTGGACATCCTTCTGGATGAACTTCCCCATGAAGCCAGGGCTGCAAGGGAAGCCTGGGTCTCAGGTGCCAGGGGAAAGCCCAGGTCCTGGGTGCCAGAGGGAAGCTGGTACCTGCAGCCAGGGGAAGGAAGGCCAACTCTTGCATGAATTTCATGCATCAGACCTCTAGTTTCTAATGAAGACTCATATGCTTAGGTTGGGTGGGTGTCACTTAATCTCATTAAGCAATCAACTTCAGAATCCCCTGTGCAGCCTTTTAAAGTTTGAATGAACATACCCCTTCTCAGATTTTGTGAATAAGTTTCCTGGAATGGAGTCTCCATGCATGTATAACTATAAAAATTGTCATGGGTGTTTCTAATATAGGTACCTTTCGGGCTGGGAAATATTGACTAATAGCCTTAAAAATGATCCTTTGTGTCTGGAGGTAAAATCTAAAAACAATTTTTCTTATCTGGGGAAGCAAAAATGACACTTTTCTTTACTAATCCTGTGCTTTTCACTATCACATGGATACTGGACCTGCTGGAAATCACAGTTAATCTTTTTAGCTTTCCTCATTCTCAGAGAAATAAAACCAAGGGCCGGTGTGTTCCTTGAGGGTGGGGAGTTTCGGGGACAGTCGGGCACAATGGAGAGAGAAGGGGCTGTGTGAACTGTGTAGGATTCACTTAACAAAATTAAATTCCTGAACTGTTCACCCCACACAATGAAACAGCTAAAGGCAAAATTTACTTTAAAATGTCTGTAAATTGTAGAAAGGGCACACATGTGAACACTGAGTCTAAAAGAAATCAAATATGGAGGAAGCCTTCCTAATGTGATGCGTCTCCTTTGGGCATTAGCAGCGTGAAGTGACTGACAGGAACAATCAGAGCTGCACACGCAGAAAAGAGATTGTGGGTTTGGTTTTTGTTTTGTGGTTTTTTTTTGACACAAATAAGACAACAGAGAAATGCTTGCCTGAAAGTAAATGAGCAGTTAGGCACAACAAATGAACCAACAATGCAGAAGGCGAACACTGGTAGCTCACTAGTGAGATAAATATAGGAAATGAGCTGAAAGACGTGACTACATGAGTTAGATGCAGCAAAAACAGACTGCAGATGAGAATCGCAGATAAAACTAGAGGCAGCTGGAGTTCAATTGAACCTTAGACCCTCTCTCTCCTGTTTTCTCTGCTCTTTGGACCTGCATTATTGATGTTTCTGTTTGTGTCTCAACGCATCAGCAAACATAAAACCAACTTCCTCTCCACATCTAATCCTCATTCATGCTTTCTTGTGGAAGGAAATGCCACCACCATCTATCCCAGACTGAGCCAGCACCACAGCATCCACTTTGACACCTCTCTTTCCAATCTCTCCATAGCCAGTCCATCACACATTCCTATCCAGTTTGCAGTTGGATTCACTTTTCTCCATCTCTACTGTCACCACCCTGGTCCAAGATACTGTTATGCCCAGATTTTGTGATCCCCAAAGACCACCAGGGAGCCAAGTCCGATGCAATAGCAAAAAGCCTGTATTCGGACTAGTCCAAGCTCTGCCCCACTTACACCAACAGCTGCGTGGTGGAAGAGAACAAGCTTCAACAGATTAAGGGTTTTATAGGGGTGGTGATGTCACTGCTTTGGCTGACCTCGATTGGTTGGGTGAGGGCTAGGGTACAGTTACACAATGACATACAAAACAGAGGATCTGGAGTTAGCCTCGCCCTGCCCTCTCAATACCATGATCTCTTCCCTGGCTTTTTATGGTATCCTCCTACATCCGAGTTCCCCTTCAATATCTTCTCTATCCCACAGCCTGAGGTTGTTCTAAAGTTAGTTTCATCATTTTAAAACCTACCCCTTTACTCAAAAACTCTGCAATATCTTGTCACTGCTCTAGGGTAGAGATCAAAATCTTGAACCACACTCATAAGTCCCAGCGTAATTGACATTGTATCTCTTTACAACTTCACCACCGATTTCTCTCCCCTCCCTTTTGGTACTTCAGTCATATCAGTTCGTCACTTGATAAGACATGCTCCCCAGGGGCTTAATACCTGTCTTTCCTCTAGTTGAAAGATTATCCTTTTCCTTTCTTCATCACTACCCACCTACTCAGCATTTTTTTCTCCTTCACATCTTTCAGATTTCAACTCATCCATCACTCTCCCAAGCTCTCACTCCTGATTGAATTTCTTTTCTTTGTCTTATTACAGTTCTGAGAAATTTTCCTTTGAACAGGCTTCCTTGTCTTTTGCATGAATGACATTCTAAACTAGATAATTCTTAGTTGCGGGGGAGCTGTCCTATGCATTGTAAATAACACCCCTAAACTTTACCCACTAGATGCAAGTCATAATAATTTGAAATGTGTCCATACATTGTCAAGTCTCCATGGGGAGATGGTGGGTGAGGCAAAGTTAATACCATTGATTATCACAACCTTAGAGCAACTACTTTTCCCTCAGTCTGTGATGTGTCTTTCCTAAAAGAACTAAACACTCGGTCTTTCTAGCACGATGCCCTTTTTCATACACATTTGTGTTTCAGGTGTAGAGAGGAGAGAGTGCACAGGGAGCAGGGCTTTCTTCTGTTGGTCTCTCTGGACTGAAGAGAGGGAGGGTGCAAGTCCAAGGCTGCTATGATTCTCAAAATGGTTTATTACCCAGAACTTTCTGCCTGGGTCAGCCAAGAACCATTTCCCAAGAAGGAAATGGAGGGAAAATTTCCTAAGGGGAGACTTCCCATCCCAAAGGAAGTGAACTACAAGAAGAAGGATGAGAGGGAGCCTGCCTATCTGACGCCACTTGGCAGCAATGAACCCCACCCCCCAAGCATCAGTTACCTCCACTCTTTTCAATCGTAACACCTCCATTTGTATTACATATGGTGTATGAGTATTGATGAGGTTATGGTATCATATATGGTATTTTTTTCTGTGTAGATGATCAAGTAGAAAAAGAAACTATGGGACTCTGAGCCTTGCTTTAGAGAATTTACAGAGGACAAATAGGTGTCATCAAACCAGTTTTTAATCTTTCTAACTCAAGTGAAAACACTCAGAATTTCACACTGTGAATCCATGTTTACAACCCTTACAGATGGGCCTTCAGGCCTGGTTCGCTATGATGACGTCTTCCACAACTCAAACTCCCACTGCTCTCACACAACCGGTCCACTCCTGCCTGGTCACTCATACAGCTCCCGACTGCTTCTTGCAGAGGCTGAGAATTCCCTTATTTTTTTTTTTTTCATTTAGGTGTAACAAGCCTAGTAGTTTATGTTCATCAATTGTCTGTATATCTCTATATTTTATCCATGTGCTCTTTTGATGTATAGAAGTAGTTTGAAACTCATTGTTTCCTTGTGGTAAGCAACCAAGATGCTGCTACGGGACCTGAGACACTGATGAGTGGTGGTATTTTGGACTTTCAACATGCTCGTTGGCCAGGTAGCTCAGATGGAGTTATTTTTTATTTTCATGTTCTAAGGTGTTGGTACTCTGTTTCCCTGAATGTTGTTCTCTAGACTGGATTGACCTGTTTTCCTTGTGTTTTCAGTGTGGCTTTCTTCTTCAGCATTGTCAGTTGAGTGAATGCTGCCAGAGAGAGTGTAAGAGACCGACCATGTCTCACTGGCTGGCACTCATGGACCCGAAGTCCCTGTAGCGGGAGCAATCACTGACCTGGTCGCTTCCTTTTGGTAGCCTTGCCTGCCTAACTTAGAGGGGGAAAAAATCAATAATTGCATAGACATTTTTAGGTGTCTTTCTTGGTTCTTTTCGAAAGAATATTTGGGGGGAAAGGGAAAACTTTTTTTTAATAAATGACTTTTTAAAAAAATCCAAAATAACCTGGCATTTGAGTGGAAGTAGGGAAATTACCCTTTTCCCAAATAATAGGTCAGAAAAGTATCTTTGCAAAATGTAGCCAAGTCTGGTCTTAAAAAGAGGGTCAGAACTAGAGACAGATTTGATTAACAGTGGGGTGGTAATGAAGCTATGGGAATAAAAGAGGTGACCCAGAGAAAGGGTCTGAAGAAGAAAGGCAGACTATTGCATATCACCAAGAAAACCCTTGTTCCTTAATCTTTATCCAAAACTTGAATCACCTAAAATACTAGTATTTTAAGATTTAGGGATAGAAAGTAATGAAATTATCCTCCTATCCAATTAAACTGCTTTATTTATACTGCTGATATTAGGGGAACTAGTGTTGAAAAGCCTTGAGATAAGTTTTTTCTCTATTTACAGCTCTCTGTGAGTCAGGAAGCCAGAAAATTTTTGTAAGTTTTGCAAGTCTTTGAGAATAGCCATCACTATATATGCTTTTAGACCACAGGCATATGATGAGAATCTTTCTTTCCAAAAGGAGTGATTAAAAAATTGGAGAGTTGGAATATAGTTTAGACCATTTTTGAACTGATTTAGCATTAATAGATTCATTTTGTTTTAATGTCTATCTGTATTTTTTTGGCAGCACACAGTGTTCAGGGGAAAAAATGACAGATTTTTATGTATATTATTTCAGAACTTTTAATATTTTATCTGGCATATGGCCCATTCATGTTAATGGCTGGACATGTGATGATTCTCATTTTAATTACATACGCTAAAAAAATTATATTTAATTATTCAAAATTGAGGTGCTCAAATCAAGTTCTACTCTATTTTTATTGAAATATATTTGACATATATCATATATTTAAGGTATACAATATTTGATACATTTATGCATTATAACACATAGTGATATATTACCATTTTAGTGATAATTAGCACATTTATCATATTATATTAAACTAGAGGTCTGGTGTACAAAAATTCATGCATGGTGGGGGAGGGTGTCCCTCAGCCCGGCCTGCCCCCTCTCACAATCCAAGAGCCCTCAGGCTATAGCCTACTGACCGCTTAGGCCCAAGAGGAGTGGGAGGTGACCAGGCCCATCAGGGGAAGGCACCACCCCCATCACCCCACCACTGTTGCTGCCACCCTGGGCTGCCTCAGCTGCCTGCCCTCGATCATCACAGACACCACTGCTTTGACTGGAAGGACTTCCAAAAGACCATTATGCTATATTGTCTAATTAGCATATTGTGCTTTTATTATTATATTTATTATTTATTTTTAGTGATTGGTATAATTAAGATCTAGTCTCTCAACAAGTTTGGTGATTATAATGCAACTAGAGGCCCAGTACATGAAATTCGTGCATGGGAGGTTCCCTCAGCCCGGCCTGCACCCTCTCCAAACTGGGACCCCTTGGGGGATGTCCGACTGCCTCTCACAATCAGGGATTGCTGGCTCCTAACAGCTCACCTGCCTACCTGCCTGATCACCCCTAACCACCTCTGCCTTGCCCCACACCTAAGATCCAGGATTCCCTCCTCCAGTTGGTTGCAGGCACCCAAGACCTGGGCTTCCCTCCCTCTGGCCAACCGTAGGCACCTGAGACCGTGGGGCAGGTGGCTTGTCCCTCTCCCAGGCCATGGGCACGGGCAGCCGCTGTCGCTGGGAAACGTGGGCCATGCAGCTTGTCCCTCTTCTGGTCTGCAGGTGCAGCATCCAGGACCACAGGGCCAGTGGCTTGTTCCTCTTCTGGGCCATAGGCTGGCTGGTCCCCATTCCTCTCTCACAAGCTCATTTGTGCTTGGCTGGTTTCCATTTCTCTCTCCCCATTGTTGAGTGTCTCAGCAATTATTGCATGATGGCATGAGGGCGTGATGACCATTTGTATATTAGCTCTTTATGATATAGGTCACAGGCGTCCTCAAACTTTTTAAAGTGGGGGCCAGATCACGGTCCCTCAGAGAGCTGGAGGGCCGGATTATATGAACTACTAATTCCTACTGTAACACCTCGGCTGCGCTCACTGCCCAAAAAACCTGGCGGGCCGGATCAGACTCCTCTGCGGGCCGCATGTGGCCCGCAGGCCGTAGTTTGAAGACGCCTGAATTATAGGATATTGTTGTCTATATTCTAATCTATTTTCTTGTTGTATTTAGTTACTCTAAAAAAAATGTCTCTGTCAGAAAAACAGTTGTAACAACTAGATTCTGATATGAATTGATTTGAAAGTTCACCAGGAAATGGATACAATTTTTCCCCCCTCTGTTAGCCAAATGTAAGACACATCAGAAACTATTTGTATAATAATTCGAGTGATATTTTAAAGTGGTACATAAGATAGGGAAATAATCCAACAAAATCTCTGTCAGTTTTAATAATAGCAAATGGTGTTTTTGTTGCTTTACTTGTACTTATTGTGCCCTTTTGGAAAAAGACCAGAGAGAAGAGTGACTTACTGACTGAAAGGTCATGAAAAATGTTATTTCTAATTTAAGCACAATTGAAATACATTAGCAGAAACTTACTTATATCAGAATTGAGGGAGCTGGGCTGGGGGCCTGGCCCCAACCGATTGTCTTGAAGATGGCGACCAGCAGCTGGCAAGCCCTGATCATCTTATTGAGGCCACCCCCCAGGTAGAATGAGGAACTGGGGGTGGGTGGCAGCAACCAACCTCCTGTGGGGACTAGGAGGAGGGCTGCAACCTCTCACCAGCTACCTGGGGGGTAGGGGGGATAGGGACGGAGGTATGGTGAGAATGTGAGTTGTTGGCCAAGCTCACTCTCACTCTCACTCCCCCTGCTACCCTCCCTGGGGTCACCAGGGCTTGCACTCCATGGAAGCCCCCATGCTCAGGTGCCAGTCATCCATGAGGAGCTCACCCCGCTCCTGTGTATCCTCTTCCAGATGAGCTGGGCCGCAGCTGCCAGGACCTCAAGGGACAGTCGGGCTCCCTTGGGTTTGAGCAGGAGCTGATCTGAGAGGCCAGCTGGGAGAGAGCACACTCACTGCAGGCAGCCAGAAGCCCACACTGTGTCCTGTCTCATGGCGTCTGGCCGCACTCACTCAACTCTGTGTGGGAACTTGAGCACTGTGACTCAGGTGGAGGGGGGCTCATGGGGGTCCTGAGGCCCAGGTGCTGCCCAGAGATCAGCTGGGACCTGCCCTTCCATGCTGGACACTCGTGCTTTGATTGCCAGCCAGGCCTTGGGACTTCACCAGTGTAGGCATTTCATGCACTGGGCCTCTAGTAATTATGTGTGTGTGTGTGTGTGTGTGTAATCATATATACACTAGAGGCCTGGTGCATGAAATTCATGCATGGCTAGGGTCCCTAGACCTGGCCAGTGATCAGGGCCAATCTGTGGGGCAGTTGGCGGGGTGATCAGGGGGTTCCCTCTGGCACCCGCCTTGGCTGGCCTGGCACTGCCCACTCACCAGCCCACTCCTTGCCGCCGGCACTGGTCAGGGCCTGTGGGCTAGGGGCAGCTCCCCCCCTTCCCGTTGGTCAGTGTATCTCATAGCAACTGGTTGTTCCACTGTTTGATCGATTTGCATATTAGGCTTTTATTATATAAAATACATATATCCTGATATATGAAAACCCAGGGTCCATCATGTCCGAAATGCCTGGAGGGATGACTGAACACCAGGCTAGGGAGCTGAGGGAGTGGAAGCTGATCAATCAGGGGTAGCAGTGACTGGTGAGCAGTGACTGGCAAGTGGTGACTGGTGAGCATCTGGAAGGCAGATCTCTTGGTCCCTCCTCCCAGCCCTCAGACTCCAATCCATCAGTGGTGGAGTTGGAGCAGAACTGGGGACTGGCTCCCTTAGCAGTCCTGCAGGGTCAATCTCCAGAGGACAGGCCAGGTACCAATGGACCAGTGATGCCGGCAGGATCCCAACAGCACTGCCCGCCTCCTGGAACTCAGCCTTGGACACTGTGGCAGGTTCCCCTCACTATTTGCTCCACAAGAAAGGAAAGATACCATCAGCAATGCCAGGGGCTACCAGTGGTGATTGCTCTCCCCATGCTTGCTCCAGGTCACTTGAGCCCGCCCCGCTGCAGATGAAGTGTGATCACTGCACATGGAAGGAATGTACTAAAACAGTAAAAACCGATGACCAAGCAACCAGAGGGATGACTGAACACCAGGTCCACTTACATGGCACTAGGCACCTGAATGTGAGCAGACAGAAGAAAACAAAACATTCAAGGCCTGTCTGCGCCCTATGGCGGGTTTGCATTTAAACCAAGTGGGGTGATGTCGGAATTACCCAAGTGCACCCCCGCTCCCTTCACCTGCCCAGCTGCCTAGGGTCCCCTTACAGCTGGGCTGAGCTCCCCTTCCCAATGTGTGATGACAACACGCAACTCTGCGCCAAGCCCGAGCAGGACTCATGGCTGGGCT